TATATATATATATATTTAGTGGAATGATATACGTATACATGATATACGTATAGTACACCACACATACACGCACGCACGTACACATTTCTAAAAAAAGGTTATATGGTTTGTATATGTTTCTCGATAGCCACAATTTGTATCATAGAAAAATCCTGTACTTAAATTCTTCGTTGAACTACAAAATATATACTGTATATGAAATTAAAAAAAATATATTTTATAAGACATGAACAATACATTCATCATAACAAATTTTAATAAGAATTTCAAGATACTTAACTTTCTTTATAAAAGAATGTAAATGTCGTAAAAAAAGTCATTTTTTAAACATTAAAACTTAATTATGTTGAAAACCTAACGCTGAAATTTTTTGGCTTACGGCATCGTTTTTAACATTCAAAAATTTAATCCGATGCGAAGTTCTATTGTAAATAAGTGCAGTACTCATATATAATTGTATGTGTACAGGATGTCTGATAATGTTCGCATAATCTCGTGGGCAGATAGAGCGAAACTGAGTCAAATTTCTCTATCAGTTTGTAATTTTCGCAATAGTTAACGAGATATTAATTTCTAAAAATTGCCGAATAAATGGATAAAATCGACGCATAAGATAGCTTTAAGATATTTTTCAGAGTTCTTTATGAAATATCTTGAAAATGTTTCTCAAAAAAACTCTTAAAAATATTTTAAAATTGTTTTATGATTTTAGATACTCTGTTCATTGGTTAAAAAAAACTTAAAAAAAAAAGATGTTTATTAATACAAAAGACGTTCGAAATAATTAGTCCGAGTGATATTTATTAACGTATTATATTCAATAACGATATTTATTTGGAAAATAAAAATCTGCAGCGTATTACTATATTTTGAATTATTTCTTTTCTCTCGAATTTTCTAAAATTTAACGTGATTGTTAGAAAAATACAAATAAATTTCACAGAAAAGATGGTTTAAAATTTTTTTTTAAATCATTTAATAAACGTCATCTAATAAACATTTAATAAACGTTATACGAACGCTTATTATGTTAATATCTATTACATTTAGTAATCTAAAAAACTATTTTTCTTTAGGGAATAAGATAATTTAAAAAATTGATTGTCTTCTTAGCTGAGCAGAATTTTCTTCTGCTGAGCAGAAATTATTTCTGTTTCAGTGTAAACAGTCAAAGTTTCATTCGTACTACATGCATATAGAATTAAAATGATTCTTTGTAATGTTAATGCATTCGAGAACTACATGGTCCAATATTACACACAGTTGAAGGAGTTTGAAATCACTGCTGAAATCATCATCAATCTCCTATATTCTACTTTGAAAATATTGGAAAGAATGAAAATGATTAAAACATTTGAATTGTTTGTGTAATATAAATAATATAAATATGATATCTTATATTTTTATTTTCCTTTTAGTCTTTTGTTAGCCTTAAACTGGACTATAAATCTTACACAGAAAATGCCATATTGCTTCATGTGCTAGGATTATGGCTCATGTTTGTATTTGTACGACAGTTTAGGAGAAAGGAAGAAACTAAGATATTAATAATAATGACTAAGATAATAACAATTTCACAGATATATATTCTTATTAAATAAATCCATTGTTGGTTATGTACGTAAACAAGGAAAATATAAGGATTCTGCAAAATTACATTGTCAATCTTAATGAGATCAAAAGAATATTTGTGTCGGAATATATATATGAATTTAAAAACAGATGAACCTATTTTGACATTTAGAATTAATGAAGAAATTAAATTAATCAAGGATATTAATTTTACCTTCAAAGGTATTAATTTTATGAATCTAGCATGCTCAATCTAGAAACAAATTAATACAACTGAAAAATTTTAGTCTGAGCAAGAAAAGCATTACTATAACGCGAAATATAAAACATATTTCAAGAAATTTCAAGAATTTAGGAAAGTGGGTCATGATACCTATAACTGAGGAAACAAAAAATTCGGAACTCGCATTTTGGATTTATATACGTCTTGGTACAAACTGATTATCTGCATTTTTTCAACGCTACATACTAAAATATATTCTACAGTGTAACTTAATCGTTGCTGAAATTTTTATGTTCTAAAATAAATGTTGCCTTCTCTCTCTTTCTCCTTCTCTCTCTC